TAAAAATGTAATGAAACGTCAAAGATAAAAAATACAATAAATGAACCGCCGGTCACCAATGAAAGTACATGCCGTGAAACAGAATAACTAGAGAGAGTGTGTGTGTAGCAACATAATGTGGTATAATTTTAAAAGTAAGTGTAAAGGTGACATGTAATTGTGTCCCCCCCCCCTCCCCCCATGCTCAAACTCTGATTGACGCCCTTGATCATGATGCTATAAATGTGAACAGTAAAACTACGTTTCTGATATGTTACTCATGAATAAATATTTGTCAATTTCAGAGTTTGATCTCTCACAGCAAATAATTATAGAACGATGTAGTTTAAATAGAACCTCTGCAGAGCGCGCGCTTATCTGGAATGTGATGGTGCGGTTAGCATTTGATGTAACATTGGCGGCTTTCTGCTTTGTATCACAGTATCAAAGCTGCTTATTGATGTTCTCCCAGACTATTTATACCGCAATAGTGATCGACGATCAACTCTTTGCAAAGCGCGCGCTTCTCTGGAATGTGATGGTGTGGTTAGCATTAGATGTAACATGGGCGGCTTTCTGCTTTGTATCAAGGTATCAAAGTATCAAGCCCACAAGAAAGTGAAATTGTTGGAAATATGCTTTTGTAGGAAATTACATTTTATAGTAGTCATTGCCACGTTTTAAAATGTCCATCAATCTTCAGAAGGGACGGTGAAGTGGGGGCGGAAGACTCACAGCGTGATATCTAATCCTCTTTTTTTTTTGGGGGGGGGGGGGCTGTGATGAATTTTCTTTTTATTTAATGATTACACCATCGAGCCACAACTCGGCCTATAATTATTCATGGCCAAACTACTTGATTTTAGACATTCTTTTGACCCAGAAGTTTGCTCAGTGTACCAGTATCACTAGACCGAAAGCTTCAGTCTCTATATCGTCGTTTTTCCACTGAGACTACGTCTGGCTCCACTAGACCTTCGGATATAGAGACTGAACGATCGCCTATGCCATCGTACGTTGAAGATACACTCTACGGGTATACGATAAGACGATACTGCCCTGACGCTAAGTTAAATCCTTTTTTTGTTATAATCCCATGCACTAACATACATGTACATGTATACAATTGGCATTTAGTAATGAATATTCATGACAAAGTTTTTTAGTCTCCACCCCATTGACCTCATTCATAGACGTGCGCGTACGTGCACGTACATGTGCATGTACGTCTCGCATCGTTTGAGTTCTCGTGTTGTCTGCTTCACTTGCGCGCGCTATCCTCGACGTGCCGCGCGGAGGAGCTAGCCGAGGCGAGGTCAACCATCCTCATTATCGTATTTGAATATTCATTAGCCGCCATTTTGATTTCTGTCGGTCAGAAGGCTTGACGTGGGTCATCGAGAAGCAGCCAAAAGCTCGGTAAGTCCTTTTATTTCTTTTATATTTCTATTTCGTGGGGAGGGGGGGGGGGTAAAAAAGGGAACTTTTAGGGACTGACAATTGCCTAGAAAATTACTGCAATTGAAGATAAATGATGTATTTCTCCTCAAGTTTGTCATGTTTGTGGGAGTGGCCTAACGGCTAAAATCTAGCCGTGATATCTTCAACATACTGAGACTACGTCTGGCTCCACTAGACCTCCCGATATAGAGACTGAAGCTTTCGGTCTACAGTATCACTTGCTTAGACAAAGGCATACGAGGGGGAGGCAGCCGGGTCACTATGCCCCCAAAGAAGGATAGGCCTACACATCCCCCCCCCCCCCCCCCCCCCCCGTCTCCCCTCGGAAATAATCGGGTAAAAGTCCCAATTTCGGGCAGAAAGGTAAATAAAAGTTACAGAAAGAAGAAAATAAAGCAGCGCTGAAATTAATGACTGCAGCTATAGCATCCTTCCTTTGTTATATCTTTTTGATAAGCCTAATATACAAACATTACCAATATTCAACCTGTAACATGCTTTTTTATATATTTTACCTCTGACATTTTTACCTCTGACATTTTTTCCTCTGACATTTTTACCTCTGACATTTTTACACCGAGCCGAATAGTCAATATGCTCATAACACATAAATGCACACAATCATACCGAATGCGGCTGATCGGCAAGTTTGACAGTACACTAGATCTAGACTCACAATTTGAATTTTTAAATTATTTTTTCTAACATCGGTAAGTTGAAAAACTTGTATTCTACTGCTATTTTAGGTGTCATCAATTGTCACTAAAGTACCGATTTTTAGTGAAATCAGTTGAATTTTGTACAGTGGTGTTTGAAATGTTGAGAATCAATAAATAGCACAGTTTTTAATAGACAGCCAGGATAGTAATGCAGCTATATGAGCGATGTGTGACTCTTCAGTCTTACCTGCTCAGTTCTACTACTAGACTTTGATCTTGTCTCTGACTCTGGATTATTTTAACTCATCAACTGGAAATATCAAAAGTTCATCCTAATAAGTAATATTGACCTAGAAGTAGATCTAGTCTACATCTTGAGTTAAGATTTTGATTTTCGAGAGTCAAGTTCGTGATTAGACTCTAGATCTACATCTACATCTACATCTACATCTATATTCACCCATCTTATCTTATCTTATCTTATCTAAAGAAAGGGAAATAATAAATGAAAGAAAAAAAAGAAAGAGGAAGAAAGAAGAAGATAGAAAAAGATAGAGAAAAAAAAAGGGAGCTTAAGGCTGGGAAAAGTCCTGGTTACGATGTGTCAATAATGACATAATTAAACAGGTTATCTTAGCGATTATTCAACCCCTTATTCATGTTTTTAATTCATCAATGTTAAATGGAATAGTCCCCGAAAACATGAAAATTGCAAAAGTCGTACCCGTTTTTAAAAAGGGTGATCCTAAATCTTTTTCAAATTACCGTCCTATTTCCCTTTTAACCTCCTCAAAGATCCTTGAGAAAGTGATTTATGTTAGAACTTTAGAATTTTTCAACCAAAGTAAAATATTTTCAAATTTTCAGTTTGGGTTCCGAGAGAAACATACTACCTCTCATGCCTTGCTGCACTTTATAGATAAGATTTCACAAGCAATAGACAAAAAGATGCACACAATTGGTATATTTCTTGATTATTCCAAGGCATTTGATACTATAGATCATGAAATTTTGCTAGGGAAATTATCGCATTATGGTGTCAGGGGCACAGCTCTGGACTGGATTAAGAGCTACTTAGCTGACAGGAAACAATTTGTTTCTTTAAACGGTTTTGATTCAGGGTTACAGAATGTCACATGCGGCGTTCCTCAGGGATCTCTCCTTGGTCCGCTCTTGTTTATTGTATATATAATGACTTTCATTTCTCATCTGATATTTTGTCATTCATTTTATTTGCTGATGATTCCAGCTTGTACTATTCACACAAAAATTCACAAACTCTGTTAGAAACGGTTAATTTCGAACTAAATAAAGTTACTTTGTGGATTCAAGCAAATAAATTGTCTTTAAATCTGCAAAAGACAATTATATGTTTTTAAGTAATACAATCAAAGTGCTTCCAGGAGATGTATCATTTAATAATGTATTGATAGATAGGGTATCATCAACAAAATTCCTTGGTTTGCACATTGATGACCAAATGAGTTGGAAAATTCATGTAAATCATCTCTATAAGACATTGTCAAGAAACAGTGGCGTAATTCATAAATTGAAATCAATTTTACCTAAAGGCATCCTTCTATTAATGTACTCGACATTATTCCTCCCCTATCTTAATTAGGGTGTTCTTGCCTGGGTAACTCTCTTAAAACTAACCTTGAAAAGTTATACTTGATTCAAAAGAGAGTCTTAAGAATTATTTGTAACGTTAGCTTTCGTACGCACACTAATCCGCTTTTTTATACGCATAGAATTTTAAAGGTGCAAGATATTTATCACCTTCAACTGGGTTCTTTAATGTACGACTTCGATTCTGGTATCCTTCCACAGGCTCTAGTCAGCATTTTAAAGAAAAATAGTCAAGTTCATGACCATGCTACACGAAATGCCTCTGCGTTTCACTTACCCCAAGTAAGGACAAAGTTAACTTTTAATACTTTGGTTTTTACTGGACCTAAATTTTGGAACTCTCTAGCTCTAGCGTTAAGCAATCTGTTAGTCTCTCTTCATTTAAGTGTAAACTTAAGGTTTATCTTCTCGATAAATACTGTGACTCATAGAGTAGTTCATTTTTGTAGTTATTATGGTGCCAAGATATATTATGTATTACTATAAATGTAAATTTTCTTCTTGATATTAATATGTGTCTAACTGAATATTTTCAGATTGTCAACCTCTTATTCCCTCCCCCTGTTGTCTTGTGCCCGTTGTGTGCTGTACCTATTGTCGATGTGCTGTAGTCTTCTATTATTTCTCATATTTTCTCTTTTCTCCCGTCTTGTCTAGTCTCGTCTCTCGTTTTGTTGTTGTTGTTGTGTGTGTGTACACTTCTTGTTTTGTTATACCCCCTTTTCCCTATTGTATTCTTCGGTAGTCACAAATATCTATTCATCATGTTTTATCCGGCTCAGAGGGGACTTACAAGCTCTGCTTTTACCAGGGTCTCCTCGTCTTTCTTTTAGTTAACTTTGTTTTTATCATTGCCATAATTTGTTATTTTGCATTGTAAATGTGTTATGATCCAATGTTATGCTCTGTATGTCATTTGAAAGAAAGACGAATAAAATCTTATCTTATCTTATCTTATCTCTAGAGACTAGGACTAACGTTAGATCTATGTTGTACACACGATGCATCACGTGTGAGCAGCTCCTAGCTAGTCCTCTATCAGGGGAGCTCCGCGCCGACGCCTTTGGCGGCGGAGCTACAGTACAGTACATACTCTCGTCATTACTTAGCTTAGGTCTAGTCATCACAATGGCAAAATTATAATTAGATCTAGGGTCTAGATCTAGGATAGATTCTAGGTCTAACTGTTCATGCTGTTAGACTCTAACGTTACTCTCGTTAGATCTAAAGTGATTAAATCATGTTTAAATCATTAATTTCAACAGAATTTACCTCGTCCACTGTAATGCCTCGTAAAGGCAACATCAAGTTGCCACAATTCCTTGGACAATAAGCACCGGTGAGTTGCATGCTGTGATCCAGAAACAATCCAATTTTTTTGACGAAATTCATGTCGAATGTTGTGTGGTCAGTCAATACACTAGTCCTGCGCATTAATCACCGGCTTTTCTATTCGCACGTGTAATTGCGTAATAGCAAAGAGCTAGAGTTAGCGAAGAGTAGTTACTCCCAAAACTAAACACGTGTGTTTATTGTAGTACATCGATGCGTAGCACCAAGGATCAGGAGTTACCGTAATGTAGGCAGTGTCGTTGTTGAGGTCAGCGTCATCATGGCAATTAGTCAAATTTGACTATTATATCCAGATTATATCACTGATACTATTGTTCTAAAATTATTAATAGTTACTAAATGGTTATATTAGAACATTATGAGTAAAATTGATGATCAACAGTTTGGTAATATGAAAGGATCATAGACCTCTCGGCGATCTTGGGCCCCCGCCCCCCCACTCAGAGGTCGGAATGACCGCATGCGTGTTGCCAAAATGTCCGGTAAAGGGGTACTTTTCGTGCGACAAAGTCCGGCCCGAGAATTGTAAAAAAAAGGGTGTATTTTGGCTTTTCACCCGGAGATTTCTTTAAAAAGGGGGTGTTTTTTCTTTTTTCTCTCATCTCTTTGGACTCCTGAGAAATTATTCCGAATTTAGGGGGGTACATTGAGCACTTTTCCTGATTTAGGGGGGTCTCCAAGGCAGTAAAAGCACGCGAAAAGCCCGCGAAAGGGGGGTTCGGAAATGTTGGCAGTCCTCAGATAGGGGGTCTTTCAAAAAAAGGGTACGAGCATATGCGTACCCAAATAACACTGAGTGGGGGGGGGGGGGGG